CCAATTCTTGGGGTTTATTTTGTCTTTCCTCCTTGCTTGTTATTAGGGTTTATGCTGTTTCCTTTCTCTAACAGCTCTTCCCTTACACTCAAATGCCTCATCCCCCTTGCATTTGTGATTCTTTTTGTCCTGACTTGCAGACATTCTTCCTTTCCTTTCTAGATTCCCTGGCTTTGGTATCTATTTGTCCTGCTTTGGGATTAGGCCCCTTACCTTCTATTTTGCTCTCTGTCCCCAATTTTGTGTCTTCATCTTTTTTCTCACCACCTCCTGAATTTCCTCTCTTCCCTCCATCTTTTTTTTTTTCTGAGGCACTTCATCATGCTCCAGAGGGGTTTTCTGTAGAAGTTTGTTCCCTTTTCTTTGCCAGCTTAGCCTGTTCCACTTTTTACAACTTCAGTCCTCATTACCTTCCCAGGTTTTTCTTCTTTCCTGACTTTGTTCTTTGACTCCTATTCCTCATTTGGATCAGTCTACCCCTAACCTTCCCATTTCAGGTTCCAGGCCTTCCTCTTTTTCTCATGCTCCCACTACCCAATGTCTGATTCATTGCTCTTCATGTTAGTGACTGTCCTATCATGTCCAATGCTGTGGGTACTCATCTTCTTCCTCTTCATCAGAAGGGGGTCACATTTTATGCTGACGGTCGTTTTTTCAGTTTCTCCCTCTCAGTCTTTGTCCCTACTTCTCATCATTCCTCTTCTTATTTCCTTTCCTCTTCTCTATGACTCCATCTATAGTCTTCACCGAGTCTGCAGTTGGCCATAGTCAACATGTCAGACACTTTCTTACACATCCTTATTGATTTGTCCTCCATATGGTTTCTACATTCCGTTCATAAGACTTGCATCTTCCAATTCCTTGTTCTTCCCTTCGACATAGCATTATCCCCTTTTATATTAATTTTTATAGTAAGGGCCTTCACTTGCCATCATAACGGTCTGTAGTTGTCATTCCTCTTTTTGGATGATTGACTTCTATTGGCCCATTCTCAGATGGTATCCTTTTCTCACATCTCCCTTCTTTTGCAAGAGGCTACTCAGTTGGGGTGGCTTGTCAAGATATCAAAGTCCTTTCTCATGTCTGCTCAGTATTTGATGATTTTGGGCATTTTCATTATCTATTATCTCAGCTGAGCTCAGCCTTCTCTTCTTCACCTGCGAGCTATGAAGTAGCTGGTCACCAGGATTTGTGCTTCTCATTCTCATCCTGCAAGAGGGGTTCTTTCACTATCAGGGACTATGGCATGAGCCTCCTCCAGTGTACCTTGTGGATCTAAGCTATACTTTCTCCAGTACCATTGTCATCATTTGTTTACACCCTCTCCTTGAAATATTATCATGGTGACTGGGTCATGCCCATACTACTTCCAGCATTCTCTTACCCACTCCCAAGCTGGACCTATCTCTTCACTGACAGTTCCCTCTCAGATTAAGACTCATTTTCAGGTGACCACACTGCATCTGGCATTTGGATGCAGGATGAGCATTCACTCCACATCAACATGTTCTTCTTGTTGTTTGTTGGATATCTTCTCACATCCTTCCCCTTCTGTCACAATCCATTTTGACATATCTATGGTTGTTTCTTACATTACCTTTGCTTTGGGGCATTAGAACTAGTCTTCTGGGCTCATTCATATTAAGTTTGTCTTGTTGCCTGTCACATGCCAGGGGCTGTGAACCTTGTGGTATACCACCTCTCTTGGCCAGACCACATTCGTACCCACATAGTGGCTTCTTTATCTTCAGGTCTTTTCTTGGGATTGCTCTAGGTTGGGCACTTCCCTCATATATGCCTTTACCATCCCTCTCTAGTCCAATCTTCCTCCCTTCTGGTCCCCTGTTCCTTATCCTTTGGCTCTGGCTGTCAAAGCTCTCAGCCAGGACTGGTCTAACTTTTTTTCTATATTCCTATTCTCCTTCTTCACTCCTTCCTTAGGTCTTTGACATGATATACAACACTTCTCAACTCCTAGTGTGATGACTCTTTATTCAATTCAGCCTTGGTTTTCTCTGCCTCTTCACTTAGTGTCCAGACCCCTCACTTTTGCTTCAACCTCCATGTCCCTTTTTTCATCAAGGATGTCATCCCTCTATCTTCATGTATGGGATTTGTGAGGTCCATCAACTGTCAGGCCAGACCATCTTGTCACATTCCTATTGCCCTACCACTTTGTTTATTTATCAATGACACTGATGATCTTTTGTCATTAATCTATCTGACACTTTTTTCCTCCCAGCTGTCCTAGTGTGCTTTATCTTGCTCCTTTTTTAAATTGGCTGTTTGACCATGTCTTGTTGGTCTCCACTATTTCTGATTATCGGGAGGAAGACTCCATGTTTCACCTTCCTGTAACTACAGGATGTTTTTTTCCTCTGTCCTTTTCACTCCCTTCTACTCCTTCCTGCTTCACTGTTCTCTTTGCCAAACTCCCATGCCTTACTGGGTCCTTAATGTGGGTTTCCATGTTCTCATATGTGCACCATTCAAGCCATTGGCTTCTTGCTCTTTGTACCACTTTTTCTCTCACGTCTTATTTCTTCCTTCTTCTTGCCTGTGGTTGCCATCACTCAAATGTCCATGCTCTTCATGTTTCTCCTACACCCTCTTCTACTGCACTTATATACTTCTCTACCCAGACCAGTCTTTCCTTCTTCAGACTTCTGCTGTGTAGAAAATATCTTTCTCTCCTACCTCCCTTCTTTCTATATCTCACCTCTATGGTCATTCAGACCTGGATGAGCACTTGTTGCCCTGTTTGTGTTTTTTGGTGTTACTTATCAGAGACTTCTCCCTTTCAGGGTCCCCTCCATCATCTGTTTCTACCCTGGGATGCCCATTCTTTCGGGGACCTCTCTCCTTCTATCCTTACTAAATGGGTCCATCAACTTGTCCTGTGGATATAATCTTCTCTTGACGTAGATGTTCACAGACTATTTTCACATTTCTTTGCATCTGATTAATGACTATTCTCATTCTCTTGCTTCCCAACCTTGTCAGCCTTGGGACGAGATCCTCCAGGTGAGCATGTGGATGACTTTCCACATGTTCATCGCTCCTTTTCTTCACCACCTGGCTGTTTCATCTCCCACAGGATTTCAACTTCCACCAGTTGCCATACGTAATCAATCCACCATCTTTGAATTGGATAAATATGTTTTCTTTTACATTTCTCTCCCTTTCTGTTGAACAGAATATCACTAGGTGCTTTGTGTTGCCTCCCAAAGTATTCTTATTTCCGAAAACCTGCATTGAGCCAGTATAATGGAAGTGTTCAGCTCATCAGTCTTGGCTCTACCATTGCCCAATGCGAGATGAAGTGTTCTGTAAGACCACTTGAGGTATCCTTGTGGTATACAAATTTACTCAGTTGAAAAAGCCAACACCAGAGAAGTGACTGCCCACTTCTTTGGCTTACACTTGCTGGCTTTTAAAAATAGAGCTTTGCAGTCATCCATTGCACTGTTTGTAGTAAAAAACCTTTCCAGCTGCATATTCTTCCCCCTTCTTCTTCAAGTGTAGCAGAGTCTGTCTAGTAGAATTGAAGTGATGGTCTAATCATGCCCTAACCACACTACACGTATTGGCTTGCCAACCACTTGCACGAGGGTGCTTGGATGGTCATGATCTTGTTCCTTGCATCCCTGCAACAGTTCAGGCTCTTTCACCTTTCCCTCCCTTTCATCTTGGGTGAACAGTACCCTGGTAAAGATGTAATCATGCACCAGTGCATTTCATTTTAAACACATGAACTTAGGTGAGAATTAGCTCAAAGCTAGTGGCATGCAAGTCTCATAGGCAGGTGCAAAAAGGAATTAGCATTTCTATGTGTGTGTGGAGGTACTATCAGAAATACATTTTCAGATTTAGAGAATGTTAACTTTAACATATACTTTAGTTGAATCTTGCTATGTTCATTTCTTCAATCCTGAAGTTTATGTATTTCTTTGAAAAAGGCACTTACAGTAATGTATGAATATAACAGACAGTAATAAGTTATATATCATCTTGAATATATTTATATCGCCTCGACATGGATTCCTGTATGTAGTGAGTGGACCTCCCAGGGAAGGTTCTGTATTTTCAGTTACTTCCTCTGGGATCTAAACAGCCACCCACATGTTTGCCATGTGTGGTGACCCGTGAAGGGGAGGAGAGGATTCTGGTGGTTGAGTGGTGTCTGGGGCATTGCAACACCAAGGTCAATCGGCTGGTCCACTCGGGCTAGGGTCAACTGAGTACCAGTGTTGGGCATTCTCAGCAGGTGTTGTGGACATTGTGTCTGATGCTGGTGTTTGGGTATAGTGCTCATGAAACCCTAGCATTGCTGCAGTGTCCTTGTTTGACATTGTAGTGTGTCCCCTTGTAGGACTCCATAGCAGGTGGGGTCAGTAAGCATTGAATCTTTTTCTTTTATTATGGATCCCCCAATCCCAATAAAAAAAGTGTAAAAACTCTGCTAATTGGTAAACGACCACACCTAGAAAACTCTGAACAGTAGTCTGCACCACAATGTGGACCCGTACTTCGTTTTCCTATCTTGCATTCACTATCCGATAAATCTTTAGGGCAAATGTCCCCTTTTTTATTCAGAATAGTTTAGAGGGGCTTGCTTGCTCTCCAAAGTCAGTTAAGAAGCTCCATTCTGGAGACATCTTGGTTGAAATCTTTAATCGACATATTTTGATTTTAAATTGCTGTATTTTTACATTTTATTCTACTTTCACTGTTTTTACTGGTTGTTTGGCACAGATAGCCTCGTTGCTTTGCGCCATAAAGCACCAAACAACCATATTTATATCAAATAGTTTAATAGTTTTTTATCTGTTACCAGGAAAGGTTAAATAGTATGGTGAAACAAATCTTATTTTATTTCTAAGATAAAAATCATTAGTGATTGGAATTATTCATTTTGAAATGTATACTGAGTGGCATTTGATGAAAAAATTGAGTCTATCTTAAGTGTTGAGTCTTAAACCTTATGTGATTTTCTCCAGAAATTCCAGATGACATTGATGATCTCCCAAAAATCACCTCTAACCCAGGATTTGGAATTGACTTGGAAGAAAGTTATCTTCTGGAACAGGTTGACTTTAATGCCAACATAGAAGTAAGGACCACCAACAATAAAACAGTAGTGCAACCTTCTCAAGTGTGAATGAAACTAGCGCTTAGACGTTATTGCCAAAACCAGTCTTATATCTTAGTAAACTCTCTTTTTGTGATATGTGTATCTCTGTTACCTGCAAAACTCAGTAACAACTTTTTGAGTTGATAAGTGGCTTATTTGATTGTGCATATTATAATTATTGCTTGATTTTTTTTTTAGAATACTGAATGAAAATGCTAACTAACTATTTTAAATATCATAAAAGTTTTCCCGTATCTTTAATACATGTAATCAATTGCTTATTAATGCTTTCACTGCCACATTTATAGATAAATAATTTTTTATTTTTAGATACACACAGTAAACGTGTGGTGTTATATAATTACTTATATCTTGCTTATTACTTGTTATATCAACATAATGCTTTATAAATAATTGCCTGAAATATTTCATAGATGATTATTTTCTCATTTTATAAGAAGTATTAAGTAAAATAATTATTTGTACATTTATATCCAAACTTTTCAAATTAATGTGCAACATTTATGATTTAGTAATTAATTATATATTTTTTTTATTTGGCTTCATGTCTATTCCTCATAATATTTACATAAGATCACACTTTAAGGCTTAAACAAAGGTTATACTTACTGTGACAGTGTTCTAGAGTGGAATATATAATATATATATCCCCATGTGAATTGAAAGTGTTAAGCCATAAGAAATTATTTTGATATTGGAACACATTGAAACTAACTTAATAATGAACTTTTTTAAACTATGTGGTAAATGTTGTGCATTAAAAACATAACAAAGGTCACAGTAACAGCAAAATACAAAAAACATTTTTAGCTTTACTATTTTGAAGATATCTTTCTGGACTGTTGAAATATATTTCATTTAATCCATGAAACTATTGATTCTAGTACATTGCAAGAAACATACCCAGAATTTACTCTAAATACAATTCTAGTTTGTTTGTTCAAGTACATATCCAAAAAATAACTAAGAAGAAATTCTAATGTTTTAGTCTCAGTGCATATCCAACTCTTATACAGATGGAGTTTGCAGATGTGCTAAAATAATTCTGTATATAGTTTTGTGCCATTTTCTTTATTTCTACTTTTCAGTATTTGATCTACTCTTGGTGATCACAACTGTCATTCTTGTAAAATGTCCATTTTCCCTGGGTTAACAGTTATTTTAACATTTAAAGTCCTAAAACTATCGTACCACTAGTTTTAGGGTACAATTAATTTTTTTTTATGTATGCACATAATTTATCTTGATAACAAAAAGTTCCAATAATATACTGTAAAATTAGATGCCATTGATTTGAAATGTTCTTGTCTTTAATTTATTGTATTAAAAACATCATCGTGATATTAAATATTAACCTTTAATAGAAAGTCCTTACATGGTTAATCTGTTTGAATCACTCTTTCAGTTTTTTCTGGAACAATATTTTTTCACTGGTACTTTAAATTACTACATACTATATCATATCTATGAAATCATTCTTGTGTACATTGTAATAAATAGGTGGTGCTCTCTGTTGGTGACCTTAAGTAATGTGTGAGATGTTATTCTTCACCAATGTTACATGGTGTTAGGAAAGTATGTCACAGTATTAAAAAATGCCAAACATGAAGCCAATTTCATATGTCATAAGAGGTATGAGTAGAGGCATGACAAATGCTTTTAAGGTGGTTTGAAAACTTCTAACATTAAAAGAGTTTTATCTTTGGTAACAGAGATACAGTATACAGGTAAACACTTTGTACATGACTGTGTGTATGTATATATATACACACACACACACACACACACACACGTTTGTAATATTAGTATGTATGTCTTTGCATGTATCTTCCATAAGTAGCAGTTTTGTGAAAGGTATCAAAGAAAAGTGAATTTTGAAAATGATACATTTATTGGCTCTTCCAATGCTGTTTTTATAATTTATCTTTCAAGAACCAATCCACCATAGTTCTCACTATTGAAAACACAAGTAGCTGATTCACAGAATATTACAAGAACATTCAGAGAAAAATTATCAAATTTACTCATCATGTTTTTTCACTTTCAAGAACCAGTCTGATCAGAACACTAACAGGGACTGACAGACTAATTTTCAGAAAATCATAATGTTATCTCAAAAAAAAACAAAAAAAACTTGGAACTAATAAAAGAAAAATCAAGTCAAGAAGTGAAATAAAATAATCACTTTCTTTATAAGCATTAAAGCTTGCCAGAATACAGACGTTGGTGTAAGGTATGAAAACATATTTCTAAAATAATTCAGAACAAATTAAATGAAGGCTATGAAGTCACAATTAGTATTATCCAAAAAATATTACTAAATGTTAAAATATTTCTTAAAGTTAGTCAACTAATTGTTTTAATGTAACACAAATAGTCTTTGAAAAAAATACAAATGTAAAGATATGAAAACCCTGTAATATTGTGGAATCGTATATGTTTTGTGAGACAAAAAACAGTTATGTATTTAAACTATATCTAACACTGTTGTCATGAGATTTACCAGTGTATTGTAAAAAGTTGTGTTTTCCTCAAAAATCAAAATTTAATGAATATGAAAAACTAAAGGTTTTAACACACCTTGGTCCTCACATGTTTCTTTTGTTTTCACATTGAAATATATGCATTACTTGCTTTGGTTAGGGGTATTAACTTGAATTTTTAAATCCATTGTTACAATGCCAACATAGCTTTTAATCTGTTTCATTTTTGCATCTATATTCGTCTTTTATTTGTAGGAAGAAGAAATGTAAATATCGGAACTTTTTTTGTAGTTTTGAATACCACATTTAATAGACTTATGTAACTTATGTTCAGTCATTTGATGTAAATAAGTTTACAGATCTGAACCATCCTTTTTTCAGATCAAACATTTTGTACAAATTAACATGTATTATTTTATGCCATCCATTCTGAAAAATGTTTGTGTTCAATCATTTAATATAATTGGCATTTACTGTTCTGAAAAAATTATGTTAAAAAAAGGGTTGGTATATTTCAGTATGAATTACATTTTTGCATATCATTTTAACCAGATATGACCATGTCAGAATATTTAGGTCTTCTATGGAGTATAAAACATAAAATTTTAAACCCTTTTCTTTCTTGGTTTCTTATTCTTTTATACATGTGCATTGCGAAGGAAATTGTATATATATATATATAATATTTATCAGACTGTTGTTCAAGTGGATAGTCCAATATTCATGATTTTATCATTTTTTTTCATTTACGAGAAAAATGTAATTAAAAATCAAATTTGTAACTCTAGATTATAGAGGCTAGATCAAGGACTAACAGTAGCCTTTGTTTTTTTATTAATTTCATTGTATTACTTGTTCTAAAATATTTATTTCCGCTTCTATTTTCATTGAACTGGTAGTTACTATTTCAGAAAAAAAAACTTTTTAAGTCTAATATGTATTTAAAGTGTGTGTAGATGTGTTTTCAGAACTTTTCAAATGTTTGTAATAGTTAAGAAATAGCTGACCAATAGTGTTTCACTTCTTGCCAGTTAGAAAGGAACAAGATTTTAGTAGTTATCACATTGCTCCATGGATGACCAATTTACCGTATTCATTTCACTGTTTTTACTGTTTATATTTTTTAACCTTTATTATTTTATATATATTTTTTACACTGTTATCATCACGTTGTTATTTTATGGTGTTGTAATATTTTGGGAAACAAATTTATTTCTTTTTATTCGTTTGAAGGTTTTGGAACTTGTAACTTGTTTTTGATATTAAAATAGGGCATTTATGTTTTTAATTTGAGAATAATGTGGATTTATTTTAGTTTATTCAGAGATGAACAGTAGTTATTCATAATATGTAAAATATTTGGTGAATAACTAGGTAATAATGTCATTACAGTATAGTTAAGTAATCTAGCAATAAAAACGTAAATGTATTGGTTAAAGTTGAATAAAGTTTAGAATATTATTATATATATATATGTATCTGTAGCATGTTCACTAATTTAATATCTCTATCGCTATCTGTTGTAAGTTATTTGCAGAATCTCGATATAACTTATTTTTCCTTTTTACTAGTACTCCTATGTTTCGTTTTTTGTTCGTATACCCTTGAGAAGTACAAATGATTGAATTATTTCTGTACCTATTTGTGAATAAAATGGCTATTTAGTCAGGTTGAATAGGTTGTTCTAAACACTGCAGTGTTAACTACAGTAAAATGTGATATAGAAAATTGTATAAAATGTTATTTATTGAAGCGGTCAATATTCATGTAAACACTGGCTGTATAAATCCATGCGGTGACAGGTGATGTAATCTTTCAGCCAAAATATATTAATGGAGATGAACTTTTTTTTTGAGTTTGCAATAGTTTTGTTATGTTAAAAGAATATACAGTTGTACGTCATTTGAGTAACTAATAGTAAATCATTAAGAAGATGATGTTTGAGAATTCGTATTACAGAAGTGAGTACTAACTTAGCACTTAACATACCAAGCTTTATACTGTTTGCTTTGCTGGCTTAAATGTCTCGTCGTTTATAATAGCAACATAGAGCTTCTCAGTTATCTGTTGATTTGACGTAAATACACGTTCAAAAAATGGGACATTTGTGGTATATAGGCTATAAAATGTGATATCTCGAGCAACATGATGATAACGTCACACTACTAGCAGGGTGTAATGTTCCTGTGTTCAGAAGAATCTCTGGAAGTAACTAAAGATTTAAGATTTTTTTAATGTTTGTCTCCAATTTCTAAACCATTTATGTTTATCTCATTTAATGGTCTACGTGAAACCGAGAGGGAACAACTGAAATGACTTCAAATGAACAATGTTTTCTCAAGCCTTGCACTTGTCTTTTTTTTATGAACTTAGTAAAACGTTGAGACCCGTTTTCCAGTTTTTTTATTTTTTTTATTTCAGGTGCTCAATTCTTCTTTCGATAATGCAACATCGAGAAATATTATACATTTAATAGTATAATTATTTTAAAGTAAAAAAATAAACAGAGAGAAATTGGGAAACAGTATTAATTAGTTTTTAGTAGATTGCGTGGACGTTCGCAACGTAGACAGTACTTTTTTTTGCGTGTTGCTTAACGCAGAGCTGCATTATGGGCTGTCTGCCTCGGGGGTCGAAACCCGATATTACCTTACTCTTCTGTTACCAAGATTTCAAAGAGATGTATTTAGCCAACCTTATTTGTGTACGTCTCATTTAATAGTTTTATCTGTGCTGTGTAGAAAAACCAAGTAATAATTAATTTTTGATTAATTGTTATAAGGCACTAAGATAAATTATTGTTAGTAATAATTGTGATACAATGCAAAACTGTGTATATGTAACATGACCATTTTGGTATTAAAAAGCTACAAAATATAACTTTTTTTTTAAGTGACTTTAACATCAATTTCTGAATAAGTCTTAAGATCAAAAGTAAATGGTTGATAATACTATAACTACTCACTAAGTGTGGTATATTTTGCATAAGCTACCATAAAACAAAATATCAAAAATCTTTAATAATATTGATAGTTTTTTATATGAATATTCATA